AAGAATTCTGTGGGGAATACCTGTAAATGAAAAGGTGCTCCACAGCAATTAGTTGATATTTCAGTATCATGGGTTCTGAGCTGAAATTGACTGAACAAAGTCTCCAGTCGTTCTTTTTAATGTTAATAACATTTTGAAAAAGGTCCTTCTGAAATGTTTCTAAGGGACAGGTGTAGAGGTAAGAAACATAAACAGAGTGAGACCATGAGGGAGGGATTTGTCATTTAGTTGCCATTTACAGCCCTGAACCACCATGCCAGGAGGTAAATGATTCGTGGCCAAGGTCGCTCCAGAGGATGGAGGAATATGGGAAGATGTCAGAATGGATTTACCAAACTACTAGTTATTTCATTTTCTCTTATGCACTGGTAGATTTTAGATAAAAGCACATGTATTTAGCAAGATGCTGGCTTTCCAATCTTGTTTAGGCCCCATATCCATGGGGATTACTTAGGGAGAAAGTCACAACTAAAGTAGATTTTAACATCCACACTGAATTATCTGGAGAAATCTTGGCCGCTGTTTACAAATATCATTGGAAAACATAGCCAGTCTAATTCAAAGAAATTCAACTGAGTTTTCAAAACAGGAAGTTCTAGAAAACAGAAAAGCATACATATTTATTTCTTACAGTGCTTAAAATAAGAGATTTCGGGGATTGTTGAATATTTTAGGAGCAGTTGCTTGAGAGAAAGAATCAGGCTTGTTCACCTCTGCACTTAGGGCGATATGGTACACTAGTAAAAACATTGGATTTTGAGTCAAAGGACCAGGATTTGAATCCTGACTGCTTCTTCCTTGTGTGACCTTTGGGTAAAGCTTATACATTCTCTGGATCTCAGATTCCTAATCTGCAAAATAAGGGAGTTGGACAAAATGATCATTCCTACTTGCTGTAAACCTACAATCCTAAATTGCAGGGGACAAATTAAGAAGTTTTTCCATATATTAAAAGTAACAATTAAAATTGTCTAAAATCAGAATAGATTGCTTCAGAATGTACCAGGCTTTCCCTTTGCTGCAGTTCTGCAAATCACTGAGGCTTATTTTTGTTTAGTCATTTTGGTAACGTCTGACTCTTCATGACCCTATTTGGGGTTTTCTTGGCAAAGATACCAGAGTGGTTTGCCATTTCCTTCTCCAGTTCATTTTACAGATGAGGAAACTGAAGCCAACAAGGTTAAATGATTTGCTCAGGGTCACACAGCTACTAAGTGTCTAAGACTGGATTTGAATTCAGGTCTTCTTGACTCCAGGCCTGGCACTCTATCTACAGCACCACCCAGCTGCCCCCAAAATCAAGATGTGGGTTATTATACTAGAGATCTATGGGTTAAAATTACCTCTGTGTGAACTTTCCAATTCTAAGATTAGGATAAGACTACCAAAGAAAAATTCACATGCCCAATTAGTAATACTTACCACAAATGACTAAAGAACTACTTCAAGATTTGTGATTTTACTGAGGTTCACACTGCTTGCACAGATCTCCATGCTTCAATGATTCTTTTATTTTGAATAGCATTCAAATAAGCTAATTTACAGATTATAATACTTACAAAGGCTGTCACAGGTCCTCTTGTCTTTCTCCCCTATACTATCTCAATAGGTGGTATCATCAGATGGATTTAATTATCTTCTCTATGTAGATAATTCCCAGATCTATATATTCAGCCTTAATCTCTCTCCTGATCTACAGTCACACAGCATCAAGTGCCTTTTGGATATCTCAAATTTTATATCCCGTAGGCACTTCAGACCCCATGTTCTCAAAGCAGTTCTAATCACTCTTAGCCCATATCTCCAATCTGTTGCCCAGTCTTGTCATTCCTCTCTTTAAAATAACTATCAAATGCTTCCCATCTCTCTTCTTCTCATCTCATAAAGACATCACTCTAGTCCAGGTCTTCATCACCTCATGCCTGGGCTATTTTATTAGACTTCTAACCTAACTAGTGTCTCTACTCTAGTTGGTCTTCCACTCGTTTCCCAAAATTACTTCCCTAAAGCATGAAATTATGTCACTCCTCATTTCAATAAACTCCAGTGGCTCCCTATTACCTCCAGGATCAAATATAAAGTCCTTTGTTTGGCATCTAAATAAAATTTTTCATAACTTGCCCCTTCTCGCCTCTCCAGTCTTCTTACTATTTCTTCTCCTTTATATATTCTGTGATACAGTAACACTAGGATTCTTGATGTTATTTGAATACAATAGATCATTTCCCATTTCCATACTTTTGACTGATTCTCCCTTATTTCTAGAATGTTCTGTCTCATTCCCTCTACCTTTTTGAATCCCAGGCTTCCTTTTAAGACTTGGCTCAGATGCCATCTTTAGTAGAAGGCTCTTCCCAATTCCTCCAGTGGCCAGATTACCCTTCTAAGGTAATCTTTCATCTACCATATATATATATATCTTGAGTATCTTTTTTATTTACATCTTGTCTCTTTCATTTGAAAATAAGCTCCTTGAGGGCAAGGACTATTTATGCCTTTCACTGTGTCCCAGTGCTTAGCATAGGGCCTGGCATATACTTCTGACCTGACATATTGACAAAAAAGTGCTTTCTATATAGCCTCTCATTTGCCCTTCTATAAGGTAGATTAGTAAATTGCAAAAGCAAATAAGAGTAATTATGTAAAGCAAAAAATAGTAATAATAATAGCAATTGCTATTATTTTAATCTTCTGGAGGTCAAACTTTTGGTGATAAGCCTCTTCAAACCTGGTTCAGTTCAATTCAATATAACAAACATTTATTAAGGTTTTACTATATGTAAGGCTCTATTCTTAGGCATAAGGAATACATAGAGAAAAATGAAAGTCTCTATCCCCAAGGAGGTTACCTTCAACTTAGAGCTCCAGTGGTTTTTGGACAACAGAATGTGGCCAAGCCCATACCTGAAGCCCTTGCAGCTTGACAGGACCTACCAACCCCAGGTCATTTGTCTATACCTTGATGAGGCATCAGAAAGATATTTCAGTGGAATGACCAAATTTTTATTTTGGGCTTCTTTAAAAAAAAAAAAACAAGCCGATGAACAAAAAATATTGTTTGGTGGCTGAGTTTGGTTGTTGTAAAGACAGTTGGGAAAGTACATTTCAAGGTTATTCTGAAATGTATTTCCATTTGGATACAGAGATAGGTAGCCTAATGCCAGACTCCCATTTTTCTCCTCAAATTTCCAAACAATTTTTGAAGCCCCCGGCACTTCATAAGTGCATTTCCTAATTTGGGTGGGAAAGGGCATGCACAGAGTATTTTGCTTTATTTAAAATTTAAAGGAATTATGCCAAGACATAATTTGAGATCTGGCAATAGTAAAAATGAAGATAAGAAAGAAATGGCTCTTTGTAACACTTACAAAATTTAGTTGGATGAGCAGCTGTAACTAAGAATAAGCTCACTTGTAGTCTGGATAAATGCAAAATAGATGATTCAGAACTTGTTTATGGGCTAGAAAAGTACTTAACCTCCGTGACTATTCATTTTGGATAACAACTTGACTCCTAACTTAAGTCCTGTCATACAATACAAAACAGGATCATGGCTCACTAGTGTGCTTCAATTTTGTTATCTTGGACTTCACTTTCCAAAGAACAGAGTACCTAATTACTGAAGAGAAATGGAACTTTGGGAAGGAATAGTAATTACAAAACTCAATTTCATCACCCAATGGGGGTGTACAGCTTTGATGGAGGGGCAATGGTGTTAAATCTAACACTGTCTCAAAATCTCTGAAAGCCTACAAAAGCCCAGGAATAAAACAAAAGTTTGCATCAAGTGTAGAGAAAACAGCTAGATAAAATTGAGAGGCTTAATTTTAAAGTAGAAAACAAAAAATATTGCCATAAAATTTCTCTTGAAATGATGTTTAAAATTCCAGAATTAGTAGACAAAAAAGTAGGAGAAAAGGGGTTTTCTTCAGGGGAGGGGTTATTTCAGGCTCATTATTAGGCATCCATTGTTCCAACAGGATATAAAAGAAACCAACGTTGCCTCTGCCCTCAAGGAGCTTATAGTTTACTTGAAGATAAAATATGTACATGAAATGGAACACTTA